AAAAAATTGCTTTAAGAAGCAGTAAAAAAGCGGTCCAAACGAAACCTTTGCAAAAAAAAAAAAAAAAAAAAGTCTAAAAAGATCTGAAGAGAGAATATCTGCTTTCTTTTCACTGATCTGGTTTGTTCCGGAACATAACTATTGTACAGGTTAATTCGGCTAAGGCACTTCTTGCTGATCGCTTATATCTTTGTTTCTTCTATTTATGTTGACCTAGCATGGTAAATGTAAGAGAACAGTTGGAATTATTGCAAGTTTTTTATGGCTTTTATATCTGCGGTTGGTGCATCTAGGCTATCTAGCCAGTAAATCATTTTTAATTGATTTGAAATGTTACGCTTTAACGTCTTAAGCTGTATTTAATCACACTTCTGGTTTGAGAATCTTATGTAGGTCATGCTGGGAGTATTGAGGAATAATATGAAGGCTATGATGTTAACTTTGCTGATAGACAGATTGGAGCAGGTAATATTCTTATAGTCCAGATTTTAGGAAGAAATATTCTTGAATTAGTTGAAGTATAGCCTTCAGCTGGTTGAAGGATAACCATCTTTTATCAGTTAAGTGAGTTGAATTGAGCAATCTATGAGTTAGATTTAGGCTTGATTTGAGACAGCTTTTTTGTTGCTTTTTAAAGAAGTTTTTTAATATAAAAATTAAAATATTTGTATTAAAAAACTGCTTTAAGAAGCAGCAATAAAGCCGTCCCAAATAAAGCATGGGACAACTTTCTTACTCTTTTATGGAGTAGTTTTTTAGTACAAAAAATTTTGAACTCAAATTTTTTGTACTAAAAGCTGCTTTAGAAACTAGTAAGAGATAATTTTTTTATTGTTTTCAAAAATAATTTTTTAGTACAAAAATTTTTATACAATAAAATTTTTACTAAAAAATTGCTTTAGCTATTCCAAAGGAAACCTTGGGGTCTGATAGAGGCAATTTTTTGGCTTCTTTTCTTTTTACATGATAATCATAATTTCGTTTGGTTAATATTTTTTTGTTACTTTCTAATTATTTTTTAAAAAATTATAATATTGAAGTTATTTTTATCTATAATGATTTTACAATCTAATTTTATTAAATATTACGGTCATCATAATTAAATGTGCAAAAAATCTTTAATCAGATGATATTATGGGATCAGATTCCGTTAAAATATTATTAAATAAGACACCCTTCTAGTAGCTAGCCTAGTTGGCTCTGCTAAAGCGATGGCTCATCATATTGCATGTGGTCGTACGCTTTAAATTACATTCTTCAAAAATTATATTTTGGTTTTTACTAAGGAATCTGATTCTTGATCTTATGTTACCACAATGTTCTGCCTTTTTATTTGAAGGGAAATATAATGTGTTTGACACTCGTTTTTTAATTCTTCACTGTAATTTGATTTGGCATCCCAAATTAGGATGACTTAACTTTTGGTTTTGTTTGGGACGGTTTTCTTAATGTTTCTTAAAATTATTTTTTTAGTATAAAAATTTAAAATTTTGTATTAAAATACTATTTTAAAAATCAGTAAGAAAGTCTTCTCAAATTTCAAAGAAAGCCTTAAATTGATCTATCAGTCGTTTCTCTCTCTTCAGAAAAAAATTCTTCAATATATGGCTTAGGCTTTGTTTGGAACGGCTTTATTACTGTTTCATAAAGCAGCTTTCTAGTACAAAAATTAAAATTTTTATATTAAAAAGTTGATTTAAGAAGCAGAAAGAAAGTCGTACCAAACGAAGCCTTAAACCCCCGCTAAAAGAAGAGCAACTTTTCAACTATTAAAGAAATTAGCTGCTATTCAGTTAGCCTATTTGAGTGATCAGTTCTACCTATTTTTTGTAAAATAAGCATGGGCATCAATTGTTTTAAAATCAAACTAGTATTCCAGTTTATTTTATAACTGTAATGTGTTTAACCATTATTTAGGTTTTATTTGGGACAATTTTTTAAAGTTATTTTTTATATCAAAATTTTTATTTCAAAAAATCTTTGCATTAAAAAACTTTTTAGAAAACAATAAGAAAGTTGTCCCAAATGAAGCCTTAGACTTGGGCTTTATTTGGGACGACTTTTTTATTGCTTCTTAAAGCAGAATTTTAGTATAAAATTTTAAATTTTTGTACTAAAATTCTATCTTAAAAAATAATATAAAAGTCATACCAAATGAAGCCGAAACTTTTTTATTACAGTCAACAAGAATTTCTTAGCATAAATTTCTTGAAAATTGGACAAAAGTGAAAAGTTATCCAATTTTAGCTTTTGAGTATAAAATTTTTAATTTTTGTACTACAAAGTTGTTTTAAGAATCAATGAAAAAGCAGTCCCAAACAAAGCCTTAAAAAATTGGTGCTTCTTTTATTTTGTAAATTTAGATTTTGTTTGGAACGGCTTTCTTATTGTTTTTTAATACAAAAATTTAATTTTTTGTACTAGAAAATTGCTTTAATAAACAGTGAGAAATCTTTCTTTAAAGAAATTTTTTGTACTAGAATGTTAGTTGAAAGTAGCTCTTAAATAAAACACTTATGGTTCCATTAATAGATTTCAATATTTGAAGAAAAATATGCAAACTTAAATTACTTTTATGTATGTTATTTGTCCTTCTATTGCTTATAAATACCAATATATTAAACAGCTTGCTTACACTCTCAACTTACCTTGTACTTAACATGACATTGTGTTTACTCTCTTATTCCTAAATAAATATATATATTTAGAATAATTTTAAAATAAAACAATAGGATTTATCCTTTACTTTGGATAATAGAATGTTGAATACACTTAAGTTGAGTTTAATTATTAGATAAAACTTTGTATAAAACCTCATATCATTAAATTGATTTCAAAATCTCTATTAGAGATTTGCACTTATTAGAGATTTGCACTTATTCGCGGTCTTTGTTCATACTAAAAATATCTGATCAAAAGTAACTCAATCTACTTCACGATCATAACTAATTAATTACTTGAATAAATATATAGAAGAAATATAATGTGTTGCTCGAGTTCTCCCAAAATAGGCAAGTCAACTTATTGATCTCCATAGCTTGGGCATGACTTGCCCTAGCTTAAATTGATTGACCATTTGACCTATAATATTCTCGTTCTTAGAATTTATCTTAACTCATGGGAAGTATAAATGTTTGCCAATTCTTGGAGGATATATGATTACTCTCTAATGACCTCCATTGAAATGTGACTATGCAAAATCATATAATATATTGTAAAATCACCAAATCAATCATTGAATCGTATGCCCTTTGCATGTAGTAGTGATTTGGAGTGGTCATATCCTAAACATAATTATTAAATTCCCTAAGTCAATTGACAAGGGTTTATTTTTTATATTAAGATCCTCTTTACTCTCTACTCTATCATTCCATTTATGTTATTACTTTGTTAAATTTATCTCAGAAAGATCTTAAATGTGATGCTTAGGTTGACTGCAGATCAGAAAGATATTTCAAAGTATCCATAGGATTGGAAGTCATGTGAGAGGACATTGAGATGGGATAGTGTATTATAAAGCTATTATCTTAAAGATGAATGGCCCAACATGGTACATTATTATTGGATTTTTTATATCATGATAAAATTAAGCTTATGAAGGCATCTTATAATTGGAAGGAGATGCTCCGAGTTTCTTGGGGAGAGAGTATCGAGGATGATAAACTAGAAGAGAAACATTTTGCTCCTGGGCAAAGATGAAAAGTGATGTGGTAACTGTTAATGATATAGTCAATGATCCCTTGTCATCATATGTTGGGGATGAGATGTAGAAATATCTAAAGGTGGAGGATATAAGAGACCAACCCTTTGCCGTCATATATACAAATGAGGAGGTCAAGAAGCGTAATTAAACTTTACTATAATTTCAATTTATATTTTTACAATAGATTGATTGTTCATGTTTGACAGAGTTCTTTGACAACTAGCATGAACTTTTATCCCCCATATACCTTGGAAGAGGAGAACAACCATCACGATTGAGGTTGTAGGTCTACATTAAGATAAGCTATTCAAAATTTTAATAAAATTAAATAAGTAGCTCTTGCACAAATTATCTAATGAATCATTTACATCTTGTCTGAATAATGTTTGATTCATATTTGAGCTATATTCAAAGCTTATTCGAATAAGATTTCAACTACATTCGAATCTTGTTTAAACAATGTTTGATCCACATTAGCATAGAATGCAAATACGGTTCGAATATGGAATGATCCTTGCTCAAATATGATATACTATAGAAGGAGAGTTAGAAAATTTTTCTAGTGGGTGCATAAATTATGCTTTTCAAATGCTCCAAAAAATTTCAATAGAGCTTGAAATTAGTTTTTGTAGTTTTTTTTTAATTTATTTTTTTAAAAGATGAAATATAAGATAATAAAAAACTTATAATTTATAATATCAACTCTTCATTTTCTAAAAGAGTTAAATTATTATTTTACTATCAATACAATTACATGATTTTTTTTCAATATATTAAAATATCATTGACTCTCTGATATCTAATTCTATTTCATTGTCAATTTTTTAAAATGGTCATATGTATTTATTTTAAAATGAATTCTAAAATTTTAATTTATCATAATAAAATTTTGATTATTATGTTCTAATATAATTTTTTCATGCAAAAGTGATACAAAGAGATGATAATAATATTGGAATAAAGAATAAATGATAATAATATAAAATTTTAAAAAGTAAATAAAGTTATTATTATTATTTTTTGTGGTTTGAGGTAGACTTCAATTAAATTATTTGAAGTGTTTTATTGCAATATCAAAATTTAAGTATATTTTTATAATTTTTGCTATGCTAAATTTATGTTACATTAAAATATAAACATATAAAATATAAAAAAAACGAAAAGACAAAAAAACAAGAAATCCCTAACGGGCCCATAACAGGTCGGCGCATGATTTTTTTTTATTTAAAAAAAGTTAGAACGGAGACGACCTTTTTTTCTCCTCTTCTACCCACCGAAAACCATTCAATAAATCTCCACAAAGGGAAAAATAGGTTTTTTTTTTCTTTCACGTAGGGTTCGGCTCCTGGTTTATCCATCCCATGCCGGCTCGCGTCAATTGAAAACTAAAGGCGGGGAATTGTGAGGGGCGAGAGGGAGATGCAAAGGGATCGCAGAGCAGGAGGGGTGAGCGGATCCAAGGTTGAGATTGGATCCCTCGAACGGAAGCGGATCAACGATGTGCTCCACAAGCAACATGACAAGTCGTCGCCGGTGATCTCCCGGGTGCTCAACGGCAAGGCGAAGGAGTATTTGAATGTGCCTTCCGCCTCCTCCGGGAAGCAGTCCGGCCGCTTCGTCGCTGCTGTCTCCAATAACAAGTGCTCGGATGGTGAGCTTTCTTTGTTTTTTTTTTTAAATGATGTTCCCTTGAAGCTTTGATTCACTTTTTTTGTAGCTGCTGATTATAGTACGCTTGTATGGCTCTTTGAGCTAATTTTGGATTCATACAAGAAGGGGTTGGATTATTGGTAGTTGTAGTCGGCTTTTATGTCAGAGGTTTCTCCCAAGAAGTTGAGCTTTGACTAAGAAAGGATTGGGTTATCTAATGAAGTTTAGGCTTTTCTTGTCAAGGAGCTGGCGTTTTGAGAGCTTAGAAAAAATTTATTGGGTTTTTTTATGACTCACTGTTTAGCAATTTGGGCGTTAGTGGTTTATGTCTTTCAGATTCCCACCAATGAGAATTTTTTTAAAAAAATTCCAACCTGTAATTGACAGAATTTCGCGATTCTTGGCTTGGAACTGGTTGAACGAAGGATGTTCTTTCTAAATCTGTATGATCATCAGGTGCTGCAGACAATTTCAAGGGAATTGTACTTGGTGATATTCTTAGTATGGTATCGATTGTAAATCATTGCTAATAAAAATCATATTAGTTTGCCTTTTTTTTGAGCTTCTGTGATCCTATCTTTAGAAGCTATTGAGCTTAGATGCTATTAATCTTTCACTTTAATTCCGGGCCTTGAATTTAAAACTCTTTTGTCAATATGAAATTGTGAATGCCTCGATCATCTATCATTTTAGGTGTCACACCATAATGAAATGCCTATTGAAGGTGTTTCTATGAATAGGTTTTGCCATATCAGTCATCGAAAATATCTGCTGAAGTTGTTTCTATAAATAGGTTTTGCATTATCAGGCTACTAATACGTCTATTGAAGCCATTTCTATAAATAGTTTTTGAATTATCAAGGTGTTCCCTTCCCTTCCGATGTGGTAAAGAGCACATAAATCTGACTTGCATAATCAGTCCTTTCCTGCCTCAACACAATTTTTCGATTTAATTACAAATTGCAATTGGCATATCTGAAAATTTTGAAACTTGTCTTTTATTGTTTATATGATGTCAATTCCAACAAAACACTTGACATTTGAATTTACATGATCATGCACACATATTTTCCAAAGCTTTTTAAAACCAAATTAATTTTTTATAATGTTTTTAGTACAATATCTTCCCCAAAAGAATACAATTTTAGGGAATGCTTTGCAGCGTACAGATGGAAGCATAGTAATCTCAAACAGATTAGCAATGAAACTAACAAAACAAAGGTAGAATAAATGAGCATGGAGTAGAAAGTTAAACATTACTTAGTGCATTGGATGCCCTGATAGGTTGTGTCGTGCAGTGGGGATGGGTTGCCTTCATGGAGAGGATAGATTTTATGGCTTGACTACTTTTGATAATTATGAAGGATCTGGTAAGGTATAATTAGTTGTTATGATAACCCAGGTTTCTTATCAGGCATTGCATGATGTTGATGTATCACTCCAGCAATGTTTAAAATTGCGTAATCGGGTATTGAGGCGTTTTTCGTTCGTGAGGCAAGGCGTAAGCTTCAAGGCGTTTTGAGGCGTAAGCCTCAAAATCAAAAGATTGTGTAAACATAAAATGATAAATTTTTTATATACTAATGAGTGCATAATATAAAACATAAAAAAGCAGAAGATATGAAGTGAAATCAAAATCTCCCAATAATAAGACAACATGAAATATAGTTAAACTCAAAATTCTATATTTCCCAAATCACAGTATTCTCTTCATTAACATATAATTCCAAAAATAAATAGTAATGACATATCACATAAGAACTCATAAGAATTTCATCAAAAATGAATGAAAACCAAAGGAAGATGTCGATAAATGCAATGGTATAACAAAAAAATCACATTTGAGTGCAAAGAAGAAGAGGAAGTAAAGCTATTCCACCTTTGTCAATAAACCCTAAACTCCAACCACGAAGAAGAAGAGCTTTCAACGATTGGTCGAAGGAGACTCCAGCCCAACTCGTGGTAGAAGAGAACTCCAAGCAAGAGGAGAAGAGCAACTCACGGTGGAAGGAAGTATACGCTGGTCGAATGGAAGGAAGAGGGGAAAAAATTGCTCAAAGAAGAAGGGACAAGAAACCTAGTTTCGGTTCGGAAATGACCGAAGATGCGCGAGGGTGGGGCGGCGGCGAACCAATAGATATATATTAGGTTAGATTTTTTTTTTTAATTTTAAGAGGTGGACACCTCTAAAATATGAGGCGAGGCATGCCTCAGTGAATGTGAGGCGTACGCCTCAATCCCAACTCTCATTGTGTAAGCTTTGAGGCTTAAAAGAACATAATTGCGCTGAGGCGCGCCTCTTATTGCACAATTTTAAACCATGCACTCCAGAAAACACGTCAAAGTTATTGCTGTTTTACTGATATTGCATCTACTAGTTCAACTTTGTTGCTTTGTTTGACTGTGGTTGAAAATGGAAGTTTGAATTTTTTTTTTCTTAACCTCGAGTATTTAGTTATGATCATTTGGTGATAATGCGGGATGGGATTGTGGTCATGGAGAACAAAAAATTGTTTGGCATGCTTCTGTTGATGCTTAAGAAGAACTCGTAAAGGTATGATTATGATTCTTTTGACAAGAAAAGTTTCTTCCGAGGCATTTTATGATAGTGATGTATCACACCTGAAAATACCTCAAACTTGTTGCTGTTTTGCTGGTATTGCCCATACTTGTTTAGATTTTGTTGCTTTGTTTGATGAGTGAAATCTGCGTTTAAATTTGGGGAAGTCTGAGTGTCTGATAGAAAAAAAATGTCAACATAAGTACAAGATAAAAGTCATGATCTGTTTTAGTGATATTTTTGTTCGATTGTGTGAGATCATGCTTGAGAGGAAGAAGCACTTCCTCTTCTTGATCTTGGGAGAGGAGGGAGAGAGGGAGATGGTAGAGCACAAGTTCTTTATTGCTTAACCATGCCAATCTATTACAACCTAAAGCTCCTATTTATAAGCACAAAATAACAACATAGAAAGCTATACTAATGGCTTTACAAGCCATACAAGAAACAACCTAAAATCTATAACCAATATCTAACAGATTGTCTAGTGGTAAATCATTTCTATAATTCCTATTAAAATTTAAGTAAATCTGTAGGAGAAGAATACTCTGAACTTAAGGCTAATTACACATGAATTTGCAAATTTGATGACTTAATTCAACAATTAGTTTCCTCAAACGAAACATATTTTACTTTTTTTTTATGCTTACATTCTATCATCCTGCCTCAGTACCAGTCGCACATCCTGTAATTTAGAATTGAATCAGATGACCTGAATTGAGGTTGCTGATGTTTAGTTGGTCCAGTTGGTCGGCTTACTAAATTGTCAATTTGAAGCTCTCTTACATTTTATCCTACTTAAATGTTATATTTTTTAATTTGTTTGCACTACAGAGGAACCTGAAACAGTTTGTGAAGAGTCAGATGTTAGTGGTTCTGATATAGATGAAACTTCATGGATTTCATGGTTCTGTAGCTTGAAAGGAAATGAGTTCTTTTGTGAAGTTGATGATGAGTACATACAAGATGATTTCAACCTGTGTGGGTTAAGCAGCCAAGTTCCTTACTATGATTATGCTCTTGATCTGATTCTGGATGTTGAAACCTCTCATGGTAAGCAAACATTTCAATTATGATCTTGTGATCAGTATATTGGTTTTCAAAAAATGAAAATGGTTTAAAGATATGTAGTAGGTAAAACTATTCTTGCGTAAGCATACACATATGTATAAGCCTATATTTTTTCTCAAAAGATGGCATGTTAGATTTTGTCCAGTAATTGAATTCAAGAACCAAATTCTCTTCAAAGGACTACTCTACCTTCATTAAATTTTTTTCGGCATGTCATTAAATTAAATACACTTTTTTCAGGAAATCTTTTTGAGCATATGCCATCTCATGTCTGTTGTAGTAATGGTATAGAAAGCAATGATACACTTCTAAATGGTTGTCATATTGGTACTCAATGCTTTTTCATACTCTATTATACTCAAATATTTGAGCATATGTTGTCAAATATTCGACTTTGTTTATCTGGTTTCAATCTCATTTGTCCTATTTAAGAATTGTAAAAGGCTAGTAACATAATTTAATTGAAATATTATGATTAATGGTATGTTGTTATTATTTTTTGGGGTGTAATTGGAAACTATATGCACATGTATTTTTCTTTTTTCTTAATTATTTTTTGGTGTGCTCTTCTTTTTGCTTGCACTATTAAAAATGCACATGCACTAAGTGCTTGTAGCTTAAAATTCTTTATATATATATTTTGAATTATGCATAAGATTTTTAAGCCTTATATTATTTTTTAATAAATTTAAATTTTTATTTAATTGTTTCTCTTATATCATATTTTCTTGAATTGTTAACACCACCACCATCTCCACCAACAACAACAACATTAAGCCTTTATCCAATATGTGGGGTTGGTTACATGAATTCTTTTCTCCATTATGTCTTGTTAAGAGTCAAATTCTCATTTAAATTTAATAAACAAAGTTCACTTCTAATATTTTATTACTAAGTCTTTTTAGGTCTACCTCTACCTTTCTTAACACAAGCCAAATCTAATACATCTACTCTTCTAATTGGGTCATTGGGAGACCACCATTTTATGTGACCAAAACATAAGACAACTCTCTCTGATCTTATATTCCACCGGAGCTACTCCAACCTTTTCACGTATATGCATGTTTCGTATCCTGTCTCTAAGAGTAAAGCCACTCATCCACCTGAGCATTTATATATATATATATATATATACACACACACACGTGCGCGCACGCGAGCTTTTTAGCTATTTTTGCCAACAATTTTATTTCAATATTCTTTCTTTTCTAGAATTGTCATGTACTGCCATCATATCTTATCATGCCCCACTTTTGTCTTCGAAAGAGGTCCATCTTAAATAGTTAGGTTTGGTCTAAGTAGGCCGTCAGATTATATTAGTTCCAACTTCCAAGATACCCGTGGAGGAAGTTCTTGAAACTCAAGCACTCGGGAATATCTTGTATTCGTTTTCTGGACTGAAAGAAGTCATCTTCTTAGATGTAGAAAACCATAACATCGATTATTTCAAAATTTTAGCACCTCAAAATTGTTCTGGTATTTTTTTTTCCAGTTAAATTAAACAAGCACAATTTTGTAAACTTTTGATTCATCAGTGGGCAAAGGATCACATTTATGGTTTCGTTTCCATTCTTTCTTTTACCCAAATCAATATCAAGTTTACTTTTGAAGTACTTGATCTTTTTATTGTGGAAAGTACGATCATAACTTCTTCTTTTTTCTCTCTCTTGGAAATGCAACTTCCCAGGAGATATGTTTACAGAGGAGCAGAATGAGTTGGTTGAATCTGCAGCTGAGATGCTTTATGGCCTGATCCATGCTCGGTACATACTGACCAACAAAGGGATGGCTGCAATGGTGAGATCTCCTATTCCTTTGGAAGATTTGGTTGTCCTTGTAGCAAATATCTTCTTAAAATCTTTCGGAAAAAATTATTCTTACAGCTTGACAAGTACAAGAACTATGACTTTGGAAGATGCCCCAGAGTCTACTGCTGTGGACAACCCTGCCTTCCTGTTGGTCAGTCAGACATTTCTAGATCCAGTGCTGTGAAAATCTACTGCCCCAAGTGTGAAGATGTCTATTACCCAAGGTCCAGGCACCAAGGCAGTATCCTTCAGTTCTTGAAGATCAAACTTTTTATTTCTGCGTATAAAATTATAAAAATCTCAGTTGATTTTTCATAGTAGGTTTTGCCATTGTGTTTTCCGACCGTTTCTTTATCATGGGAAATTCTAAAGTTATTTTTTTAGGTTTAGTAAATGAAGGTTTCAGTTATGTTTGAAGATGATAGAATAGGAAATGCTTCTTGTTCAATAGATCAAGGCATAAATTTATGCATTTTTTTAACTCGCTTCTTTGTCCTTTGGATTAAACCAGACAGCTAGGCGCATAATCAATAAGGAACTGTTCTACGAATTAAAGGCAGGTTTTCAAATGTATTTTACTAGTTCTGAATATTATGACATTTCAAACTGTTAGTTACTTTCAGCCTTCAGGCAGGTGTTAAGGTAGAACTACGGCTTCGTTTGGGACGGCTTTCTTACCGTTTATTAAAACAATTTTTTAGTATAAAAATTTTAGCAGCTTTTAGTAAATTTTTATACTAGAAAACTGCTTTAAGAAGCAGTAAAAAACTGTCTCAAACGAAGCCTAAATTTATTGAAACGACAACTTCCACGTTTTTTCTCCTTGTTTCAATTGCGGCTAAAACACTTTCCTTAAAGAACAATCCTCTTTACTACTCGTATGAATTAAAACATATTTTTGCATTAAATTCTAGTTCTAGTATGTTTATACCTGGAATTTTTTTTGTTTTTCTGGTTGCATTTCTTGACCTTTTAGACATCGATGGAGCTTATTTCGGCACAACATTTCCTCATCTGTTTTTGATGACATACCCGCACCTGAAGCCCCATAAGGCCTCCCAACGGTACACTCCCAGAGTATTTGGCTTCAAACTCCACAAACCTTGATGTGGGACTAAAAACGATTGCAGATTATGTGAAAGCCAATCTCTTGAGACTTTCCTTTTCCCGCTTTATAGAAAGCAATCGACGCAAGTCATGCAATTTGATGGCCATTGTTCAACGAATTTGAATTTGTGAGAATTTTGTTGGTGATGAGATCTGGCCTAATTTATGAAGTCAATTGTTTCTTGTTATGTAGCTACAGCCAAGCCAAAGAGCATGTGTAACCAACCTTACTATATTTGATTATTTCTTCATGAGCTTCATCCAAACTAATGTGGCAGATTGTTTGTTAGTTCTACTAGTTATTTTTGGTCATTTGATCATTGTTGTGAAGTAAAGATCAAGAGTTCTAAGCTCTCCTTGTGTGTTTGGTACTGATATATGCTGCATTTGCGTGCTTGTTTTAGTTTATATAACATTTCACATAATAATGTTCTAGTTTTTATTTATATTGATCACTGGTATCTTATGTATCATCCCCCAAGATCTATAGAATGTGAATTATTAGTATTTGGAGTTCAATTATGAGACTTATCGAGTTTTAGAAAGATCTTGATTATTTGATAAAAATGCCGCACCGTTTAGAAGAGAGAATATTTATCTATTCCAATTTAATGATTGAACTTTCAAACTCTTTGTTTGATCGAATTCGCGCATATTAGAGTAAACATACAAATGAGACAACAATATATTATGAATTCTATGCTTTAGTTGATTCAAGAAATTAATTAATCTTGCTAGCATACTTTACATTCGTTTTATGATTCACTATTTCCCTTTGTAAAATATTTTAAATTCTTCATGATAATATTAGGAAACAATTAAAATTGACTAATATAAAATATACTAATGAAATAAATAAACTTAAAAATTTTAAGACATAATATCAGAGATCATATATTGATTAGGATTCAAGTTGAGAGATAACCCACTATAAAATTTTAAAAATTATAAACTAGAGCATGTGAGTCATTTGAGATTATTAGAAAATTAGGCACAAATGCATATATTCTTGAATTATAATATAAAAGATGTAATATTAAAGGAGTCAACAAACCTCCAAATGAGTGGGACAATTCTTTTTAGTAGGTCAAAATCATCACTTGCAGGTGCCTATCCAACATTCTTTTTTGTGGATCAGATCATTATAGATTTATAGCTGAGGTGCCAATAAATAAAAAAGGAAAAAACACAAATTTCTTATGAGGTGGAAGTATAAATCAATAAAAGAGGACATTTAAGTTACTAGAGTTGACTTGGAGAAACTCACACAAGAACTTCTAAATAATTACTATCACCTTCCAACCCATCATTGTGTTCTCCAAGGTAAACACGTATTATTTAAAGCTCCCAAAATGCACAATTTTCTTTTATCTAAAGGTGCTAAAAAGCTCCACTTAATGTGTAATTAACTCCACCCTTCATCTTAAATAATAATAATAATAATAATAATAATAAAAATAAAAACTCCACCCTTCATCTTTATAAAGGTGGATTGACACAAGACACGACAGGATGGATATTTTTAGGGGTGTCAATTTCGGGCCACGGGTCAGGTTCAGGTTGAACACAAACTAACCCGGCACTATTCGGATCAATCCGAACCCAACCCACTTTGGGTCTAGGTCAACCCGACCCGACCGCAATGACCCAGTGCCAACAAAAAACTGCTAATTTTAGGGTCCAAAAACGGGTCAATCTCCAATTTTCGGGTCAAAACGAGTCAATATTGGGTTGATGGGTCAAAAACGGGTTTTCGGGTCAAAACAGGTCAATTTCAAATCAAAGGGTCAACCCAAACCTGACCCAAATTTTGAAACGCGTCGAATTGTCGAACCCGAATCTGACCCGTTTCGGGTTCGGGTCAACCCAAACCCGAAATTTTCTTTTATTAGTAAGAATCACAAAAATTGCGAGTGCCAACTCAGTATTACAAAAATACTAATTATACATAAAGGAATAGTAGACATCTGCAACTTTCAAGGCATAATAGCACAAACTACTAGAGACAGAAGATAACAAAAATTGCAAGTGCCAACTCAGTATTACAAGTGCAACATAACCAGTCTGCCCTTTCAAAACTGCAATGTGACCAGCAATAGAAGAAAGTTAAATCAAGTACCCAACTACTAAACTAAGAAACTTTCTAAAGCATTATATAATACAATCATAACAACGAGAAATAATATACTTAATGCTTAATTTTGCTCTAAGAAACATGCACTAATACATCCACCTATCCTATAATAGACGTTTGGGAAGGGAAATGAAAGCTGCAGCTAAGAAAACTTGCCATGTTCCATTACTATTATAACTCCTCATGCTACAGGTAATAAATAAGTTGTTCAATGGATAGAAAAAGAAATGAACACATGGGGTCAGTAAAAACTGATAATCTATAAGAAACCTAACATCAAATAAAATGATATACGCTAGAGAACCAAAACAAGAATGTATTAGAAGCCACGAAAAGTCTTCACCTTTAAAGAAATGCATCCAACTTCTTTGTTTTGGCAGAGGAGTATGGTGGTCTGAAGTCGTCTAACCTTAGATTGGAGCTTGTTCGGATCTCATTCAAAAAGGAATCGCCTTTTTCCATTTTTACAAACTCCAATATATTGCCTAGAATCTCCGACCCAAGTCCAGCATCCACAAGGGATCCAGGTTGTTCTCCACCTTCACGGATCAATTTTCCTATCTCTCTCAAGGGAACAAGATTCTCCACAACAACTTTTCCAAAAAAATAACCAAGAAATTCTGCAGCTTTGGGAACATCAGTCACAGTTTCCTCCAAGGTCGAGAGAACAGATTCAAACCTGACAAGAAAAAGATAAACAGAGTGACGATTGAAACGCTTATAAAAGGCATTTAACATTTTTTTTTTTTTTGGGATCTCATTGAAAATTGATATATACCCTTCAACCAATTGAGATGGACTAATCAAACTATCATGACGCTTGCTTAGGTTCACAATAAGTTGTGCCAACAAACTTCTCTCCATGTTTTTCCTTTCAAAAGAGTCTGAGACCCAGTGTGATACCATTGAAGGATAGAAACTTGGCGTACTTAGGTCTCTGATGCACAGAACAACCTCGTCCTCATCTCGGATACTGAAAAGGATGACATTTCAGCAATAAGCAAATATAAAATAGTAGGCAAAGCATTAGCTAATCATGAACAATAGCGATTGCCTACACAGCCTACTATAATCCAAATAAAAGAGGAATAGATGGAAAAAAGTCATAATCTGTTATGACTGTTACACTCACAACAAAGGATAAAAACAACATGTAAAAGCTTGAGCATTTTTTTTTCCCCAAAAATAAAAACAACATCATCATTGGCCCCATCCTAGCTAATTGAGATTCAATAGATCCTCCATTCTTTTTATTGAGTGCCACATGAGATCATCATCATCATCACATCACCCAACTATTTTGGGGACATATGTATGAATCCTTATTCATAGTTCATTTTTGTTGAGTGCTACAAGATGTGTTTAACCAACCTTAGACGCATCTTTTTGAACAGCTTATATTTATGTTACCATATGTTCACCCTTTTCTTTTCTATACTTTCAGTAATATTTTTACTAAGTCTAATGGTCAAATTTTTTACCATTACTGTACATGCTCAAACCACCCAAGTCTTGTTTTCAATACCTTCACTTTAATAAATGTATTCCAACCATCCCTCTAATATCCCCAATTCTTCATTTATCCTTTCAAGTTTTGTGACAAATTTATCTTAGTGCTCTCACTTATGACATGCTGAACTAGGTTGTCAATGAAATTTGGATCCATACAACAGAACAAGCCGCTATTGAGTGCCACATGAGAAGTCATTATGCATAACTTATCCTTCCAAGACATGTTACATTAATTTTGCCATGTATTCTTATCCCTTCCATATTAATTTGATCCAACTGATCTTTATCCAGTCTTTTAACAATAAGAACAAGCGGGTTGGGAGCACGTAGGAAGGAGGGAATGGGAAGAAGGGAACAAGCGGGTTGAATTTGGACGAAGGAGGGAATATGAATGGAGAAGGGAAGAGAGGGAACCATGGAGGGACCGCCATGCTCACGCCATGAAGGGGACATTGGGACTGAGAGGATCAAAAGATTAGAAAGCTGAAAATGCATGTATTTGAAGGGAGGATGTACATGGGTAGATATATTGGGTGGAGAGATATTTTACAGTAAGCGGGTTGACAGAAGATGAGAGGCTAATGGTCACCGCTCTATGTCTAGAAAAGATGGCACTGATATGGTACTAATGACGAGAGATGATGTACCCAATCCGTTGAGGGATGAGTTCAAGAAAAGCTTATTGGAGCGCTTTCAAGCCTAGCAGGATGGGGATCACTATAAGTAAATATTTGTTTTGACACAGGATGGCACAGTGATGGAGTACAACGAAAGAATTGAGCTTCTATCAGTACAGTAGAGAGTTTATCAGAGGCAATGTTGGAAAGCAACTTCATGAAAGGCCTCAATCCAGAATTGAAGACAACAGTGTTGGTGGCAAGACCCCGAGATCTGAGAGAGGCAATGGAGTTGGCACAAATGATTGAGAACAAGAAGTCACTATAGAAGAGTAGTAAAGGGGGTAGTGTAGGAGGATCTTACTGCACGGTGACCACTTTCTTGGCACCTAGGGTGTAGACCGTACCAATTAAAACGGAGATGCCAAAATAGGGAAGGGCGGTGCCTGACTAAGAGGAGATTTCAAGATGTTGACTTATACTTAATTAGAAGACAAGAGAGCAAAAGTGCTAATGTTTCACATGCGATGAGAAATTTACACCAGAACAGGTGTAAAACGCGCACATTGCAGGTTCTCATTGTATGTGATGGGGAAGAGGTGGGATGAGGAAGAGGAATCAAAAGAGGAAGAAGAGGAAGAGGAGCCCGTGAATTTGGAGGTGACTGAAGTTTCATTGAACTCTACAATGGGATTCACTTTGAATCACACTGCGAAGGTACAAGGATATCTATTACAAGAGGCAGTGGCGATCCTGGTGGACAGCGGGGCTACCCACAGCTTCATATCAAATTAGGTGGTAGACAAACTGGGCCTGAAACTGGTAGACATGAGAGGGTTTGGAGTGATGATGGGTATAAAAAAAGTAGAGAGGAGCATAGGGATATGGTAGATTTGGTGGTAGTGCTATAAGGGATCCACATTAGGGATAATTTCCTTCCATTAGAATTGGGAATTACTGACTTGATTTTGAGCATGAAATGGCTACAGACCTTGGGGGAGACCAAGGTGAACTAGAAGGCTTTGATCATGGAGATTAAGTTGGAGGGAAGAAATGTGGTAATTACGGGAGACCCCAGCTTATCTAAGGCAAGGTTTCATTGAAAGCCATGGTGTGTATCCTTCAAGGGGAAGGAGGGGGATTCTTGGTGGGAGTTCCAGAGTTTGGAGGAGAGATAGAGGGTAAAGAGGACATTCCATACATTGTCCAACCTTTGCTTCAACAGTTCAAGGAGGTATTCCATCTTCTCAAGGGGTTGAAACCCCCACCGAAGCACAAGCACTCTATTGTTCTAAAGGAGAGAGTACCCCCATAAGTATATGAACCTACCGATACCCCCAGATCCAAAAGGATGAGATGGTGAAGCTGATTCAAGAGATGCTTAAAGATGAAATAATTAGGCCCAATGTGAGCCCTATCTCAAGTCCTATATTGTAGGTGAAGAAGAATGATGGGAGCTGGAGGTTCTGTGTAGACTATTGTGCCTTGAATAAGGAGACGATACCAGACAGGTTTTTCATACCTGTCATCGATGAGCTGTTAGATGAGTTGCATGGATCTATGATATTTTCAAATATCGATTTAAAATCTGGATATCATCAGATAAGGATGCGACCTGGAGATGCCCACAAGACAACTTTTCGGACGCATGAAGGGTATTATGGGTTTTTGATGATGTTGTTTGGTCTCACTAACGCACCGGCAACCTTCCAATTCCTGATGAACAGGGTATTTCATCCCTACTTGTGAAGGCTTGTGTTGATTTTCTTTGACGACATATTGATTTATAGCATGTCCAAAAGGGAGCACTTGAGAGTTGTGCTGTCGACCTTAAGGGAGCATTCCTTATTTGCCAACAAGAAGTGTTCCTTCGCCAAGCCCAGAGTGGAGTACTTAGGGCATATGATATCTCAAGAGGGAGTTGTTGCTAATCAGAGTAAGATTGAGGTCATGCTCAAATGGATCAGTGGTCTATTTCAGCCAGGTGTTGACAGCTCGACCAAGTTTAAGTCGGTTTACGAGAGGGAGCTGATGGCGATTGTGCTGACTATTCGGAAATGGCAGTCGTATCTCCTCAAAAGACATTCCATCTTCAGAACTAACCAGAGAAGTTTCAAGTATTTGTTGGAACAAAGAATGGTCACTAAGGAGCATCAAATGAGGAAATCCAATACCGACCCGGAGTTGAGAACAAAGCAGCATATGGTTTATTCAGATTTCAGGTGCATGGGGAACCCCAGATGATGACATTGTCTGTACCCTGGGTGGTTGACTAAGAATCACTAAGGAGAGAGCAAAAAAGATACAAGCCAAAAGAGAATTAGGGAGGAGCTGGCAGGAAACAAGGATAATCATCCAAGATATTCAGTAGTAGGACAAAAGTTGCTTCATGAAAGCCAGTTTGTGCTTCCAAAAACCTCTACCTACAACCCTAGCTTATTCTAGGAGTTTCATGGGACAGCCATGAGAGGGCATTCAGGGGATCGAAAGACTTATCGTTAGTTATCTGTTGAGCTATACTAGGAGGGGATGCAGAATGATGTTGAGAAAATGGTGGCTAGCTGTGTTATATGAAAGAGGCACAAGTATTTAACAATGTTTCCAGGAGGGCTCCTTAAGTCGCTAGCTCTGTCGGAAAAGATGTGGGAGGAGGTGACCATGGATTTCATTGAAGGGTTGCCTAAATCAGAAGGTTACACGATTGGTGGTAGTGGACCAGTTAAATAAATATGCTCATTTCATTCCCCTTCGCTACCCCTATACAACAATATCAGTAGCAACAATTTTTATGAGGGAAGTGGTGGTACTTCATGGAATATCAGAAGTGATTATATCAGATAGGAACAAGATCTTCCTGAGCTAGTTTTGGAAGGAATTATTCAAAATGCAAGGGAAGATCCTAAAAGAAGCACTATTTATCATTCTCGAGTGGATGGGAAGACAAAGGTGGTCAATCATAGTGTGGAGACCTATCTAAGGTGCTTTATATCATATTGACCCAAGTTGTAGGCCAAGTAGTTGGCTTGGACAGAGTATTGGTATAACACATCTTACATTCGACAGAGTATACTAAATCGTTCAAAGTGTTGTACGGACAAGACCCGTTTAGCTTAATATAATATGGGCAAGGTAGTACACCGGTGGCTTCGATAGAACACTACTTGAAGAACAAAGACGGGATTTCGGTGGAGCTGAAGGGACATATGTTGAGAGCTCAACAAATTATGAAGAAGAAGGCAGATGCACATAGGTGTGACATATAGTTGAGTTGGGGGATAGTTTACTTAAAGCTTCGCCCATACAGACACAAAATCCTGGCACAGAGACGTAATGATAAGTTATCCCCCCGATATTTTGGGCCCTACGAGATAGTGGAGCGCATAGGGGTTGTGGCTTATCGCCTACAATTACCACCATCGACATCCATCCATCCAATATTTCATGTGTACCAGTTGCGACGGGTGATAAAAGAGCATATTCCTTCCTCGACACCCCCGACCTTGACAGAGGACATGCAGGTGTTGTTGGAACCACTGGATGTTGCATGAGTACGAACCGGAGCAAGAGGAAGATAGGAAGTGTTGATTAGGTAGAAGGGCCTATTGAAGCACAAGGCCACATGGGAGTCCTACTAGACTATGCAGCAGCAGTTCCCTGCATTCCACCTTGAGGATAAGGTGGGACTTTTAGAGGAGTATTGATACAATAGAAGCAAATTCCAGCCCAGGTGGGGCCTAGGTGGAGCTGACGAACAAGGAGAGAGAGAGACAGTTAAGGGGGTGGGGCCAGCAGGAAATTAATGCATTATATTAGGAGAAAATCAATTAGAAATTAATGCATTATATTTGGAGGAAATCAATTATGAAATTAGGAGGAAATCAATTAGGAAATCATTTCCTAATTGAATTTCAAATTGAGAAGGGGAAAACTTTAGGAAGGAGGTTGATTTAGGAGGGAAGGAGGAAGCTCATTTAAGTCTATAGTATGATTTATTTTATTCTTATGCAGAATTTTGTTTTGAGTACTATAGTTCTTTGTGTGAGGGATCCTAGCGACGTCTAGGATTTGGGAGATGTGGTCCTCTCAAAAGAGGGTCATTGTATTTTGTTTTGTTTGTATTTGTTCTCTTTATCAATAAAAATCAGTTTTTGTGTGGAATCCTTTGGAGTATTTTGTTGTTTTTGGTGCCAAGACGTATCAACGAACATCTTTAACTTTCTCACTCTCAGATACCCTCCACCCCAACTTCCTCTTCCACCTCCGGCTCCTCCCATGTGGCAATTGTTGTGATATCTCCATTGTTCTCTCCCACCCGCCCTCCTTTCATAGAAGTCTTCCTAAAAATCAGCCCTCCTCGTATCTTCCTCCCAATTTCTCTTGGTTATCGATTCAAGAGGCAACATATTTTTCCTGTCGCCCAAGATTTATGCTTCTCGATCATTCCCCATGGTGGCGCTATTGGGGTTTCCCCTACTTCCTTGGCCACCTGCTGGTGCTCTCACTTCTGATGTTACCAGTTGGGTGCGAAGCTCCAATATTTTCTTCATCATGTTCTCTAGATTGGAAAACCTTCTTTCCATGGATGAAAATTCGTTCCTCAACCTCAGATTTGAGTTGAACAACTTTTTCTCCTAGTTTATCTTCCAAAGTATCCACTTTCTTAGCCTCCATAGATACCAAAGAAGTGCTCCGATACCAATTTGATAGGAATCTGATCTCCACACAACAAAAACAATAATAACAAAAATAAAAGACAATAGAAATCAGTGAGAAAGATGTTTATTTCAGCACAACAAACAAAGAAACAAGTTGATCTACTATTCGAGAGGTAGATCGGCTCTCCACAAACCCTAGGCGCCGCTAGGAATAACTCCAGGAAAAAACTACAGCAAAACACTAATAGCATGATGAAATAAAACAACCATATTAACCCTAATATAAATCTTCCAACTTCTCTCTCAATTCTAAATTCAAATCAACTCCCTTTCTCTAAATAAATCTTTCCTAGCTCCTCCCAAATTTGAATTCAAATTAGCCTCATTTCCCTAAATAAATCTTTCATGACTCCCTCCCAATCTGAATTCACATTAGCCACCTATCCCTGAATAAATCTTTCCTAATTCCCTACCAAATTTGAATTCAAATCAGCCACCTTTCTCTAAATAAATCTTTCATAGCAAATCTGAATTCAAATTAGCCTCATTTCCCTAAATAAATCTTTCATAACTCCCTCCCAATCTGAATTCATATTAGCCACCTATCCCTGAATAAATCTTTCCTAATTCCCTACCAAATTTGAATTCAAATCAGCCACCTCTCTCTAAATAAATCTTTCATAGCAAATCTGAATTCAAATCAGCCACCTTTCCCTAAATAAACATTCATAATTCCCTCCGAATTTTAATTTTCTATGGTATTTAAAGGTTGAATCTTTCCCCTTTGAGCCCCTCTATCTTCTTGCTTGTCGCCCACCCTAGTGGGTCCTACCGTCTTAGCCGGTCCATCAAAAAGCCTTTACCAAGCAGCATGCTAAAGCAAACCTAGTGTTGTTGCATTTTAAAAGGTCGATATGTTCATCATGTCATATCCAATTACAACAACGAAGCAATTAATCAAATTTTTGAGAAAGTTTAACAGCTCTTATAATTGTTAGCAAAAAAAAAATCACTTTTAATGAACATCAAAGATTCAACTAAGAGTTTGTTTGAGACGGCTACAACTTTTTGTAAGATGGCATGTAAAAAGAAGCTTCCTAGTATAAAATTTTTTTAGAAGCAATGGTCAAACATAAATTATGATTGTAACCTGAAAAACAAAGCATCAAGAAAGTTGTCCCAAAAGAAGCCTAGAGTTTGGGATAACTTTCAATGTACAGTAACAAGCAACACAAGTGTGCACTCACAAAATCAATGGAAGGAAATGTTTATATAGACAAGTGTGTGCCTATAAATGGAAAAGCATATGTGCATAAGAATCGTTTAGATATATTATAAAAAGAACAAAATTACGAGAAGCAAATAAAGGAGGAGGAGGTCCTTTTATCAATTTTCCCCCTTCTGATAGTCATCAGCAACAAGACAAAACTTGTTTAAACTAAACCAAGATGGCAATAGATATCACATAGCATTAAAGATCCACAGCGTTTGGCTAAGCGTGAACCCTCTCTACTCCACCTAAAATTGGGTGGGTCTCTCAATTAGGTTACAGAAGAACCCAACAAATTCAAATATGTAAATCCACAAATAATTTGTTTTAAATTTTCCTATAATACTGTTGTTGTTTTGTGGTATATAGCTTCAGCCTTTAGTGTAATTAGCTTCACGCTGTAATACTTAATTCCAACATAATCGTTAGTTCTCCTTGTGCTGTATCCTAAAACCTCAGTATAATTCATTGTCAGTTTGTCACTATTAACTCACTAAACGAAACTATAATGCATACTAATTTCTAATACCTCTCCTTTAATTTAAAATTCCAACGCGCAGACCTTCAACTTTCTCTCATTTTGGCCCACCAAGCATAACGCAAAGGCAGCTAAGTTAGGAATTTGTATACATTTTATTTGACAAAACAAACAACTACGGGAAAAGGCACTTTATTTTAAATAAATGCACGAAAAATAATAAGTTTTTTCACGAATCATACCACAACAGTTATATAGCAAACAATCTAAAACAAAATATGTTTAATCTGAAAAAATAACATAATTTAACTTTTTAATATGTTTGATGCCATATCTAAATTATACTACTGAAATTTTGCTATTCATTCATGCTATTATATGATTTATTAGAATTTTAATTATTCTAAATTTATCCAATATATTCCTCAGTTCCGTGTCCAGCAAGACTTGAAGATTTATGTAATCTTTTATATAAAACGTTACCTATAGAATTCATGTATAGTTGATATTGACTTTTTCCGTAGCGTGTCTTCAGACAAGGCTTTGGAGTCAGAAGCGCTTGTTCTGCCACCTGAAGAACCAGGTCTCCTCCCTGTAGCAGCTCCCCCGGATCTATCAAGAACACGATCCACATAACGTGGATCTCTAATACCAAAACCAGAGCTCCGATCTTGAGAGCTTGTTTGATCATTTATTAACACTGATGATCTATCTGTCAAATACTTTGGCATGCTTTCTTCTCTAGAGGTAGAAGGTATTCTATCATGGGTAGAACTGAAACCATTAGGACCAGATGCTAATCTATGAGAATCAGACAAAGGGGCATTTGACACAAGTCCTTGTCCTCTGCCAGACATTCCCTTTGCAAGACCTCCTTGAGGACCCAGTGTAATGGAACCAACATCTGCAGGCCTTTGAGGGAGAGGAACTGAAGATATCACCCTATTCTCAAACTGATTCCTATTATCCAACCGAACATCTTGGCTACCCGGACCTCGAAGCTGCCCGGGAAGACCACGAATACTACCAGTCGGCTGTGAAGTTGGAGAATTCAGTATTGTGGACCCTCTGTAACCATAATCAGTAGGCAGCCCACGTTTTGAAGATATAATAGGACCTCGTGCCAATCTGGTAGTTTGGGCTTGTCGCTCTTGAGCTGCATCTCTGTGTACATCATCAATCTTCTTTGGACCTTCAACCTTCCTTCTCTGCTGCCATTTGTTCTTTCTAAGATCAATTGTGTCCTTGAGCATGAACCTAACCCGAGAAGAAAGTTTCTGGTTTGTGGAGAGCTGCGCCATCATCTCAAAATAAGCATCCATACGTTCCCTGGTTCTGGAATGGTCTATCATCTCTCCTATGGTACTCATCAATTTGCACAAGGCTTCAATATTCTCTTCATCAGGGTTCTGATACTGCCCCAACAGTTTATGGATGCATCCATGCATAATACCCTCAGTTAACATCTTTTTTTTATAAAGTTCTCCAATTAAACGAATATTTCCCAGCATGCGCCTTCTTGCCTGGATTCTTTTTTCCTCCCTTTCTGCTTCTGAGTGATGAACTTCACCTTCTTCTTCAGCTTTGTCAGCTTCAGCTTCCTCCCTTTCCCCTCGTTCAAATTCTTCCTGACATTTGTTCAAAAGCAACCTTTTAAAAGTAACCTTTTCATTGTCTTCAACAAAATCAGGCAAGTCACCAGCAAGATGGAAGCAGAAATCAGCATACATTTCGCAGAAAGTTGGCTCCATCAATGCTTTGTCAAAAATCTGAGAGATAACCCCAGTAAGAGTATTTGTGTTGTCAATGTTGACCTCCTTAACTTTGGCAAATAGTTTCTCAAAATTTTGAGGTGTTAATTTGTTCAATATAGCCTTCAATTGTCTCTGTTTCTGCTCTTCTTCATCAGATACTTTGCCAACTTCGTATCTATTAGCAGACTTGTGCATTACTTGCATAGATCCCTGCGGAGGAGGCATCAAGCCTCTTTGAGTGCCAGTGGCTCGCTGCCATCTGTCAGCATCAGAATTATTCCTTGCTATCCCTCCCTGAGATGTCAAAGATTGCATAGGACCAGAAAGTATTCCACCAGATAACTGGTTGGAAGACTGTAAACGTGGATTTCTGAGGACACCCTGGTTAACTCCTTGGCCAGGACGAACATTCATAGCAGCAACTCCATGACCAAGATCAATGCGGAAAGCACCGGATCCTTTCATCCACCTATCATCATCCGTAATCCCAACCATACGTCGATCACCCCGAGAAACACCTGGAGATCTATCGATAACTCTTCCAGGACTAGATAAAATGTCACGGTCAGTACCACGGGACAGACCTGCTTGAACACACATAAAAATGTCTGCTATGTCAGATCCAACTTCAAACCCTAAGGGAAGATCCTTGCATTTCTCTAAAAAGGTTAATAAGAAATCTATAGAATATTTCCTTTTGCCAGTAGACTCATTTCCACATTCAACAAGCATCTTCTTTTCCACATGAGCCAGCCCACGATAATCTGATGTCAATTTTGGAGTAGATGCATCAGCAGCATCCTCCCAGTCCTCGATTTCAGATTTAGACTGCTCCTCCAGCTCAATAGCAACATCAACATCAGTGTGATGTTCAACAGTGTTATTCTTTGAATTTGCTGCCGAAGAACTTTCAATAGTTTCTGTGGTACTGAATGTGTCCAGCTTTTGATCTGGGCCCTTATATGCATTATACAAATCAGAGGAACCAGCAGCATCAGCCTTTGAAAGAATTTCCTTCTTCTTCTTCTTTTTATTAGTCTTAGTTAAAGTTGGCTCTAAAGAAGGCTTGTTCGGCAAACCTGAAAGCACTGAGAGTGTGTGGGTTGATGAAGAAAGCTCCACAGTTTTAGCTCCAGGTTTATCTTTTATTTCTGAACCTAAAGACATGGAGGCAATTTCCAACAACGAAATGACATGTTCACCAGCAGCAACATTCTCAGAACACGTTTCACATTTATAGATTGTAGAATCAGTAGCTGAAATTTTAGTATCATTAGCAGGAGTGAAGGAAGCCTGATCAAAAGGGGCAACTTCAGTATCCTTTCTATCAGAGAATGTTGAGGTAAGCACATTTGACACCGTTGCCCTCTTCGGGACTGAGTAACCCCCATCTTTCTCGAGGCTGGTAAACTGTAGGTCATCACCGTCACAAAGCTTCAAACCAGTCTCATTTTCTGCTTCCGGAATTAGTATACCAGCTGTCTCATCAGAAGAGTCTATGATGGAAAGAGGAGCACTGCCACCTAATAAATCACAACCAGATATTTCACCCTTGCCACATTCTGATTCAGGCAAATTTTCTTGTATTTGTCCAACAACCAAAGTTTTAGAACTGCCAAGAGAAACACCAGAAGTTCCTAAAATAAGCCTATCCACATCAGTACTTGAACTAGATGCTTCTAAATGACCTTCCTCTTCAATAGAAAGTCTGTCACCGGCTAGCTCTACAGGATCAGAACAATTTGAACCGACAGCCTCAGATGGTTCCTCCTCCAATGTAGCTATAGAAGGACCTAAAGCTCCGGCTGCATCGTTCTTCTCATCCAGTTCAGAAGTTTTAGATTCCCTGATGGTTGAATGCGAATTGGTCACAGAAAAGAAAGAATCAGCAGCTGAAGCTGAATGAATGGCGACAGAATCATTGGATACTGAATGTCCAACTGCATTTGTCAATTTTTTGTCCATGACAGTCTTTGCAGAGTGCATTATCAGGTTCCCAGCATCGTCTAATGCATCTATCTGTATCACCCATCACATCCAGATTTGTTAGATTATTTTCATATTGAATTAGATTAAAACAAAATAAATATGCATTTACATTCAACAAGCTAGGACTTAAGAAGAATAACAAAACTTAGAAAAGAAACACCTGTTGCTGAGAATGCTTAAGCTCTTTTTTATTTAATCTTGTCTGGTCATCCTTTAGAGATTCTGACTTTAAAGCTTCCTTTTTCCAGCCATCTTTCTCTGCCACAGCAGATGTAAAACTCCCAACAGTACGAGCTAAAGAAGAAGCTTCAGACTTATTAATATGCCCTGAAACCACTGCAGATACTCTTATCAAGTTCTTATCAGTTGTAGAGGAAGAAGAATCAGTTACAGGTGCTTCAAAATTTTTCTTCTGCATTATAATTGTGTTTTGTGAGACAATTTCCTTATCCTTTGGCTGAGGAGCAGCAGGAACATCCCCAAATAACTCAGACAGCTTTGGTGATTCGGGCTTAGTGATAGGCATGCTAATTCTTACTGATGGTGTCCCAACTTTTTCTGCAGGTTTAATTATCATTTGTGCTGCCGCAGCTAATGAGGCAGAAACTGATGATACTTCTGAATTGACTGCTTCTGGCAAACCATGCAATGGAGGTGGAAGCCCAGGTCTGCCACCCATAGCTGAGTTAAGAGGTGACGGATTCATGAATGAAATGGTATGCCCATTTTGACCAACTGTATAGCCGTATCTTGCAGCCTGGGGACCTGTAGTCATCTGGGTACTTGACAGGGGAAGAGAAGAAGGGTAATACATTGGGGGTGGGTTAAAAGTTGCTGGATAATAACTGATCTGTTGATTAAATGTTGGATGAGGCTGGGACTGCGATGTTGCATTTGGAATTTGCCTTTGCCCCGTGGTACCAGCATCAGTTTGCAAATTAGTTCTTTTATCAAGTTTAAGCTCCTCATGAGTTTCTGGATGAGTTATCTTCACAGCCTTCCGTTGAGAACCGAAATTTCCAGGTTGTTGTTGATGAAATTGTGGTGTAATTCCAACTCCTATGCTGCCTAACTGAGGAGGCATTTGGTGACCTAATTGAGCTGTATATCCCAAGCTTTGTCCCTGGGCCATGATTGCTGGAGGTTGCAGTGAATGAGACTGAATATTAGGAACAAACAACTGTTGAGGAACTTGGGGGGCATTTCCTGCAGGCAGCGTCATTGGCATTTGCAAGGAACTGGGTACAATTCCCTGTGACGAAATCTGCAAGTTTGGACCACTAAATTGCAAAGGGATTTGTGGCTGTTGAAAAGGAACGTGCATCGGCATTCCACCTACATTAAGAACCGAAGATCTTGCTGGTGATGCGTTCGGAATGGAGGGAATGGGCACATGCATATCCCTCTTTGGATAAATAGGAGGATGAGATTCCCTACTACCAACTTGATTAAAGCCACCCGAGTCTTTCAATATTTGCTGCTGCTTCTGCTGCAGCAGTGGTTGTTGTGGTGGTGGTTGTTGCAAGGCCTGTTGCGGTTTTGGGGCAGATGGTATAGGCAGTGCAGGTGCAACCCTAACTGAATCATGGCGGGCCTGAATCATGGAAATATATAAAAAAAAACATCAATTTAACAGCACCAATTTATCTAGAATAATTTAAGATCACTTTGCACTAATTTCAACAGTATCAGTTAACACATAATTCAATCAAGTTGAAGAAATGTCCATTTTACAAAATATAGTTTTCCTAACAACATGGAATGCATGTTATGATGTCAACTTTAGGGAAAATTTTCAAATAGACAGGTCAGAATCTCATATGGCAAGCCCCGCTAAAAGGGCAGCATTTACACATACAAATGCATGCGCAAGCAACAAAAAATAAAAATAAAAACGGTGGGAAGAAAGAAATACAGGCTGATTGCCTATATTTCATAATGAAGAAAATAATAAAACTGCAATAGAAAACAAATCAGTAACCTGATCACGTTTCTGCTCATCCAGATTTGGTGGAGCTGAGCATGTTCTAGCAGGAACCTACATTTCAAAATACAAATTACAAACTCATGTTACCTAACATAATAAACCAAAGAATAATAAAGAGAATATGAAATGTCCAGAAAAAAACTAAGTGCAGAAATACCTGCATCCCATTCATAATCCCAGGACTTATGGTCCCAAACTGAAGATACGGTCCACATTCATCCCCTGTATGAATTATCAAGAATTAGTATAAGCATTGAAAAATAAAAGCAGACCTCTATTCTGAAGTAGGGTGAAAAACATCATAGAAACCCATCAATATATATATATACCAAGTATGAGAACTGGCACTAATTGAGCAGGATGCCCAAATTGAGTTGGCTCAACATAAACAGATAAGCAGTGAAGAAAACAAGGCTAAAAATACGTAACACTTATGATGATCGAACAGAACCTGGAGTAGCCACTGCAGACTGAGCAGCCGGTGCCTTTGGAACAGCTCTGGAAATTTTCTTATTGCTGGAATCAACTGGCTTAGCACTCCCTGATTCGAGTCCATTTAATGGCCCTGCAGCACATAAAGCAGGTGAAAATAGAAGTATGACTCAAAAATAGGTATTTTTCTATCGATCAATCAATGATACAAAGATCGAAGCTTGAAATTTAAATTTAGATGTTGAAGTTTTTTCACAGTTGCAAATATATTTTAGAGATTAAAGAAAGCGGGTTATACAGACCGATACCATGTGAAGGGGTTACTGAGTGAGCTCCATTTGGTACGGCCCGCGTTCCTGCGTCAGAATTCGAAATAACCGGATTTGCCCTAGTTTGCTCTCCTTGTCCATTAACAGTTTTCTTGACGCTATAGCCCACATGGATGAAAGCAAATGTTAATACCAGACCAGCAGAAAACCCTAGTCAGGCAAACATTACTTCTGCACAATAAATAAATAATAAATAAAAAAGGCATCACCTTCGATTATTAGAAGACTCAAGAGATGCTGACGGAGGGGGCAGGGCAGAGGAAGACGAAAGTGCAGGAGCCGTGGCGGGGGGGCCACCGCCCTTGCCGCCGCTGGAAAATCCCTTGTTCTTCCCTAGGCTACCTGATCGACCGGGTCTTTTAAGATGCCCCTCGGTCTTCTCAAACCTTGATTGATTATGGGACATAAATCCAACTCTCACTTCCTCCTCTCCTCCACGATTCCTAAAATAAAGACAAATAGTAAAAAAAAAAAAAATATCACCCAATCTGATAGATTGAAAAGCGAAGAGATCACAGGAAAATCTGAATCCGTACCTTCGAAATACAGACAAGAGAAGGTATGAGATTAGGGTTTCCTCAGCCGGAAACGCACGTCTTGCCGATGATGCCGCCGGAAATCATAAGGCCTGCCGGAGACGAACGAAGAAACAGTTTGCAAGGTAGATAGGGAGAGAGAGAAAATGGAGAGGAGCCGAATAAGGGTTCCTTCTCCCGGAGAAGCGATGGTATTGAAAAGAGAAGCGAGAACAAAAAAATGTTACAGAAGAGTTTTGCAGTAAAACAAAGGAAATAAACAGAAATTAACCCCAGTGGTGTTAGCCTATCAGTTTACCGGTTACCAGCACAAAATTAGCCTTAAGCTTCGCTTCTCAGTATGTTAATAAAATTAAAATTTCTAAAATAGTATTAAAAACGTGCAGTAATGAACATGAACAATGGCACCTCATTTACTTAATATGACTTATTCATTAAACATCTGATTTATTTCAGATGCATATGATGAGATCATAATGAATATATAGTAGCATTTAAGAAATTATTACTGCAGTAAAAAAAACTTAAGAAATTTGAATTATTTGAAATTTACAATCTAGTTCAATTTTAGTGTTTAGATTTAATTGAGTTCTAAATATACTATACATTCTTTGTCATTGCTATTGTTGTCGTCAGCCTAATCTCACCACCATCGATTGTCGCCGCTGGCCGCCTCCAACTGCCATCACCACCCCTAGAATCGCCCATTTGCTACCACAACTCATTGGTTTTACATTACATTTAGGGTGTCAATATTTGACACGACCCGAGAATCCGACCCGAAAATTATGTGTTAAGGTCAACCCGGATCTGAAACGGGTTGGGTTCGGTTTCTGGTTGACCCAGAAACCCGAAATTGACCCAAAAAACTTGTATTTGATTCAGAAATCCGAGATTGACCCAAAAACTAGTAATTTTTTGTCAATCCCGAATCATTTGGGTCATGTCGGGTTGACCCTGACCCGAAACTAGTCGGGTCAAGTTTGAATTGACCCAAATATTGTCAGGTCAATTTTGGATTTGACACGAACTCGACTCGTGACCGGAAATTGACACCCGTAATTACATTTATTTTATGTCAATAAAAATAAATAATTACCTATTTTTACTTTATATTCATTCAAATAACTTCAAAATATTTCGATAGTGATTGCTGTTACTTCTTACACGTTTTTAATATTGTAATTGAAAGTTAAACCATATTAACAAACTGAGGAACGAATCTTAAGGCTATTATTGTGCTGATATCTGATAAACTGATAGGCTAACACCACTAAGGTTAATTTTGTTTATTTCATGTTTTTTTTTAAATATAGCCAGTCCCCAAACTGCTCTATAATATCTATCTTTTTTTTTTCTTCTTCTTGCGCCTCTTTTTCATATTATGGCTCCTCCGAGGGAAGGAATTCTAAATTCATTGCACATGTAAAGCTTCTCTTTTCGCTCCCCACCTGAATCACTGGTCGCTGCCTGTCATCACCTGTTGGCAACCTGCTATTATCGTGGCCTCAACTGCCACTAAGGATAGTTACGACTACTTCTGTCGTTACCTCTTTATACTGGATTCATTTTATCTAAAATGAAACGTAAAAAAATGATTTCATGTACTTCTTTTGCACTCAAACAAATGTAAAGTAGTTTAAAAACAATGAATCAACATCACATTGCATTTAGAGTTCAATAAATTCTAAATATTGCAAATCAAAATAATCTCTTAGTGCATATATGTTGGCCTCTTGGTGGCTTTGAGATATATAGTGAATTTATTGTACATATTCACCTAACTGTAGCTATTTCCTTAAATTTATAATGCGTTTTGAGAACATCGCCTCTTTCATATTGCTAAAGAGGTGAGAAATGGCTAAGGGCCAGGCGAGTGGAACAATTATTACGTCCTCCGACCGAATGTAGAGAAACATTCGGTCGCAGACAAATTGTTTCTCTCATTCGGTCGACCGAACCAAATAAAACTTCCAGGCGAGTGAGCCATAATAATAATAATAATTAGATCCATTATTCAAGTATTTTGATCGAGTAAATCAAATCATTGTCGAAAAATGGTTTCCGGTGGACTAAATTTCAGTTGAATTCCTGGCTGATTATCGAAGGAAAGTTGACCTTTTAACCGACGAGCAAAAAAACGTCGAAAATTCTGAATATTATGGAAATTCCGCATAAAAACTATAGAAAAAAAAAAACACCAAATGGTTATAAAAATACTATTTCATTCAGCTAGTGCCATGAAAATACATGCAAAACATTTAGTTTTCTAAGGCATTTGCATGTCAAGATGAAACATTCAACAAATTTGCATAACATTTAAAAATAATACATTATTTTCACAACACACAACACTAATGACAGTGCATTTACCAACACCAACGTATTTCGGATATCAAGGCGAAACTCCAACCTTAATCAATTCCAAATAGAATAATATAATGATGGCGTTATTTAGGCTTCATTTGGGACGGCTTTCTTACTGCTTCTTAAAGCGGCTTTTTAGTACAAACATTTTAATTTTTTACTAAAAAGTCTCTTTAAGAAGCAAACAGAAAGCCGTCCCAAATGAACCCTTAATTTTATTACAACATTGAATGCTTCACATTAAACAAGTATGACATGAGAAGTATGACTACTCAATTGACTTTGCATCCTACTCATAAGTCAACTTCATCACTTGCGCCTCTTCATATACTTTTATTATCCAATTTATAAGCAAATTTTAACATCAATACTAGGGGTGTCAATATTTGACCCGACCCGAAAACTCGACCCGAACCCATCCAAAAAATTTCGAGTTTGGGTCAACCCAAACCCGAACCGGGTCGGGTTCAGGTTGACCCGGAAACTTGACATCAACCCGGTTTGACCTGTTTTTAATTAATTTAGGAGGATTTTAATGATTTTTTAATGAAATAAGTAAATGATATTTCAAAAAATTATAAACATTATTTTCCAAATTAAATTAATCTTGATTTATTTTAAATTAATTGAAGTAAATGTTACCTTCATTTAGGGTTTAGATTTAAATAAATTGAATTAAATAAAAAAAATTTATAAAATATACCCGAATCGGGTCGGGTTCGGGTTGAACTAAACCCGAAGTGGGTCGGGTTTGGGTTCGGAAAACTGACACGTTTATAAAAACGGGTCGGGTTGAACAGTGTCGGGTCAATTTCAGATTGGGCCCGAACCCAACCCGTTACCCGATTTTGACAGCCCTAAATTCTATACTACTTAAGTGGTTTCATCAATTGCTCTTTAGGAATCTTAGTCACTTGCTACTCATGGATGCATACAAGATTAGACTAGAGTTCGAGCATATGAGAGTGGTACAATATTTTGTTTGAAGATTTATGAATTTGAAATAGATTGCTTATGGGAAATTAGTAGTTGATGGAAATCAAAATATAAATTTTAAGATATTCGTTTGATAACAAAATTTGATAGGAGGGGAAAAATAAAACTTTGTACGCAAAATTTGGAGTGATTTGCATACACAATTAAGATATAGGAAGCACAAAATTGGCCCTATTTTACTTCACACATTGATCAAATGGTCCTCCTATTTATAAAAATAAGATTACAAAAATAAGTCCTAAATTTAAATTATATATCTAATCCTATATAAAAACTAATCAAATTCTATATGATAATTGAAATCCAAATTTGAAATTAACCAAGAAGAATATAATTGAGTCTAATTGGCTTTCCTAGTCTACCATACAAGAAATGAAAAAAACAAAGAATGCTTGATTCATAAAAAAATGAAGCAAGAAAATGTTAGAAAATTTTACATAATACAAAAACTCATAGATATAAGATTAGGCCAAAATGCCAAATAGTCAACTTCAAAAATGAACCCTTCACATCAAATCCTTCTTATCCAAACTCAAATGCAGCTCCGAATTTTATTGCCTCAGGTTACCTGACGTAGAGATATATCAGGTAGCCTATAATATATCGCCACGTGCTCTTACTCTTTACCGCGCGGCCCGACGACCCAACCCGAAACGGACCCAGAAGTTTGCGTAGCTCGGTATTGCTAGGTATTGGTCGATTTTACTCGACAAAAATGAAAAATACTATTATGTGAAGACCAATACCGAGCAATACCGAGCAATACCGAGTTCAATACCGAGCAATACCGAGCTCAATACTGAGCTCAATACCGAGTTCAATACCGAGCAATACCGAGAAATACCGAGTTCAATACCGAGCAATACCGAGCAATACCGAGTTCAATACCGAGCAATACCGAGTTCAATACCGAGCTCAATACCGAGCAATACCGAGCAATACCGAGTTCAATACCGAGCAATACCGAGCTCAATACCGAGCTCAATACCGAGCAATACCGAGTTCTTTGGCGATATATGTTCAATACTGAGCAATATTCGTTCCGGGTTGGGTCGTCGGGCCGCGCGGAAAAGAGTAAGAGCACGTGGCGATATATTATAGGCTACCTGATTTATCTCTACGTCAGGTAACCTGAGGCAATAAAAATTCTCGAAATTGAAACACCTGATAATTTTGTTAGATCAAATAGGAAACTTCTTGAATTTCAAGGAGTCAAACAAGTGGAAAGTATGGGATATACCGAAATCCTTTTACCCCTATAAATAACTATAACTCATTTTTAACAAAATCTAATTGATGAAATCTAAAAAAAAGTGAAAAATAATTATATAGATGAAGTTTTACCTTTCAAATCTTGAAGAAATGAAGCTAAACGGTTTAGAAATGATATTGAACGATGAATAGGGTGAGAGAGTTATTTGGGAGAAAACATTTGTGATATGGGAGAGCGAGGTTGTTTTGAGAAATAGGGCCATTTTCGGCTGCATTTATGATGGATTTTTCTATTGGAATTAACTAACATTTCTGTAAAAAAAGATCGACCGAAATTCCTCCGGGACACTTAATAACCGACGGAATTTCTGATAGAATTCTCGCCGAATTTTACCGATAGAATTTCCTCCAAAACTTTTGTCAGAAAAATTCGGCCGAAAATTATGCCGATAATGTATATAATTTTTGTGGTATAAATAAATGAAAATTTTAAATTAATGATGATGTATTCCCATCCTGCATTCGTATTCCATTGATCAAGGTTTTCTCAATGCGGGTGGAAAAAGGCGTAAAAGTAAACTAAAAAAGAAATATGTTTTGATATTATCTTTTGCTATTTCGACAGTGGTATTTGATGGTTTTGTGGAC